GTTTGATTGATTTTGAGTTTTGGGTTAAAATCTTGGTAATTTTTCAACGTAAAAATTCGAAAAAGTTAAAGTAGTCGGATAGGACAGAAATACACATCCGCCGGTTCATTTTTTAATTCTGATTCCGAATATAATATTTTTATTGCTCAAAAGTTGAGTTCGGGTCCAGAAAACTGGAAATTACGGGTAAAATTCCGCCTTTTCGTCTCTAATTTGGAAAAAATGAGTTTTCTCAGCGAGGAAAAGGAATTTCGGGAAAAGCTCATCATAGATTTGAAGCTTGTTCTCTGACCAATCTATCCATGTGTTAATTAGGGCTCTATGCCCCTCCACAAAAATCTAGATAGGTGTGGGAGAAGCTGCTTTTTGACTCATGCCTTTTCCCCGTTTTTGACTCATCGCGGTTCTGGAATCTTCTACGGATAGGGTTTTGGTTTTAGGACTTCGACAGTAGCTTTTTCAGATTCAGTTTTCAATGCTAAACCCAAAAAACTTTGTTTCAAACCTTGAAAATGTAAGCGAGAAAAACGGCAGAGCCTTTTCAAGAAAGACCAGTTTTTCCGGTTTCGGACATGTTCTCAGTATTTTGAGAATATCTCAGCGAGAAAACGTTTTCCGGAGGCGGGAACGTGATATTCGAACTCGATGCTGAATTCTCTATCGAATGATGTAGAAAAACGACCACATTATTTTTTACTGCAGCTCTGCCTTACGTGCATCTTATGTTCGGAAAATTTGGAAAACTCATTATTTCGGTCACAGCTGTACCAAAAGTAAATTAACTCGGATAGCTATATTTCTTCAGTAGTTTAAATCCAGAAACAAAAATTCATCTGCCACCGAATAGCCCGAAGAGTCTGCATTCGAATCTGCGCTACTTTTTATTCATAACTTTGTCGAATTTAATTAAAAAGTTTATGGCGCATCCCTCTGTTTTCATGTTATTTTTGGACTTAATGAACTTAACTTAACTAAATTAACGTTAGTGTTTTCTCATGATCCTTAGCAGATGGAACAAAAACTTTTATGACAATCAATGGCATAGATAGTAGAATATATTCTCCTCTAATTTATTTTGGAAAAAGCTTGCTTTCGATGTTTTGACAACAGTCCTCTTTGACATTCACTGTACCCTAGTGGCACACACTCCGGCTGTTTATAGAACTAAACATTAGGAGAAAAGAAGAAAACAAAGTTGTTTCTAAACTTTCATTTCTCTTATATATATTTCGTATGAAAATCATAAAACGAGTAGAAAATATCGTTATTGAACCATAAAAAGGACTTCTTGATATTTTTGTTCTTCTCTGCTTTTTAGACAAAAATTTAAAATGGGATGTCTGAATTCTGTTGACGGACTCTCAGCATGGCCTTCAACCTGCCAGACAACTGCACGGTATGCAACATCAAGAAATAGTGCCGAACAATCAGAACCGCATTATGAAAATATATTATTAGAAGAACTATTAGATATACATAAATATTCTACTAAACTTGTTTTAATTAATCGAAACCTAAATGATCAAGATATGAAAATTTTGGCTACGTACATAAAAATAAATCAATTTTTAAATCAATTGGATTTAACTAGTAATGAAATTACATGTACAGGTGTTGTTTATTTAATGGAAGCAATATTAAATTTTAATTCAACATTAACAGAAATATCATTTTCAAATAATCAATTAGGCGATATCGGTGTAAAAATATTGGCTCTTTATTTAAAAACCAGTGAGCCATCTGACATGTCTCGAAAAATCATCTTTTATGCACCCCTCCCCATTATGGCAGTAAAAGCTTTGATTTTAAATAAGGATCAAAGGAAGAAAAACTTGATCTCTAAAAAGGCTCAGAAAACGAGTGCATCTCCTATTTTACCGTGACAAAATATTAATCGATAATTAATGAAAATGAGGTCGTACTTATGAAAGTGTAATCTCTTAGCCGCATATCAACGAAAGAATTTTGTGCCTTGGATCGAAAATCTTGGGGTTATGAATTTTTCTTTTTCTTTTTCTTTTTAGTCTTGTGTGTCAGCGATCTCTGTTCAGTAAAGGGTGAACGTGCTTGTTGCCTCCCTTCCAAAATTGATCAAATTTTTTGAGGTAAAAAATTATTTTTCAGACCTAAAACCAATTTTAAATAAAACTACAGGGATACTTCGAATCAGCGTAAAAAGCTGCTTGGAATCATGGAGTTTTGTAGTCAAGTCGCTTTTGCGCTTCTCTAGTGCTTTTGTTCTGACACGTTTCATCTTCGACCGAGCCATCGGCTGAACTTTGCCTGGCTAACATTTTAAAGAAAAATGTTTAAGCTACAAAATAAGCGTTTTCCAACTCGGTGAAAAGTTCTTAGACCGTTTTTTTTTGCCTAACTGGGGCGATTTTTCAGTTGACCGGTCTAATATAGTCTTTACCGGTCAAGAACACTTTCTGTCACTTTTGACCAAAAACCTTAAAACGGATAGTAAACCAGCGCTAGCCTCATTTAAGAAAGTTTAGTAAACAATTTTCTGTTTTTTCTCTAGACATCTGGTTAGCAAGGAAAAATTCTGATCACACCGGCTGATCAAAAGGCCAAAAAT